AAAAGTATACAACCTCATGAGCACAGAAATGGTAAAGATAGAGGGGATGGTGCATAAATAATGAGGAAAGGACATGACAGAAGAAGGGAAAATATCTCCGACTCACGCATGCACTCGAGGGTGTAACAACCACCGTGGGCATGAGCATCAGCAGAGCTTCCCAGGCAAAGTCCAAAAACACGAGGGAACGGCGGAGTCGGCTTAGTCCACCGTTCCAAGAAGTCACTCGATCTCCGCCACCCATTCTTACACAGCCACCAACTCACAACCCCTCAGTTTAGCATCCAGAAAATCACCACAACCCATCCCTAGCAACATATACTCGCTGCCCATTCGCCTCTTTCTACCTTGCAGTAAATTGTGATCGGTACAGAGCGCTTTCAAACGTACATGCTTTGTCACGTGCGTAGCGAGTGGACGATGAATCAAGATCTCTTTCTGTGGTCACTCCCAGGGCAATTTCACACTTGGCTCCACATTTCAACGCCGTTTTTAACCTTGCGGTAGCACAAGTGGACACGCCAAATCGGCTCACGTTGCACGGTGAGACGATGGCCCATGCGTTTTCCTGCTGCCCTAAATAGTCGTCCACGGGGGAAATGTGTCAGGGAACGTGGCTGTTCTTTGCGGTCTGGTGTCTGTCCAATATGCGTCAGTGGCAAGGGCATTGGCGTGTGTGGGTGAGAGACAACATGCTCGCTTATCACTGAATGCGTCCCATCTTGACAATCAGTCGGCTGGGCCTCGTCAAGGAAAGCTCTGCCCACAACCACTCCAATCATTATAGAACCTGGCTGCGACCACTTAAGTGTGTTGCTCCTGGAAATAACATTAATATTGGTGCTGGATAACAAGAATCACTTGTGCATTAATGTATGTATACTATGAGCAAGGCTTTTTACACCAAGCAACTATCATGCCCTTTCCTCACTCGGGAGTAAATCATATTTATAAAAAATGTAAGTTCCAAAAAACGTGTTATATTTGTTGATCTTCATATTCACTCATCCGTGAATTGAAAGTCGTGTCTGAGCAGCACCGTCAATATGAAGCATTAGCGTCACAGTTACAAGCTGAACAAAGGAAAATTTCCGATTCAGAAACCTGAGCGAGTGCTGCATCAACCAGCAGAGACCGCAGCTGCAGAAGCAATCACCGACGCATGCTGACACTGACACAGGCACTGCCGCCACACAGACAGACAAGTACCCCACGTGCTGATCGCCGGAAAATGTGCCTGGCGTGCCAGAGTCAAGCCGACCGTACCACAGGACGTCAAGAGACTGTGTGATGTGTTATTTACAGGCAGCTCCCGGATGCCGCGTGGATGCGCCAAAAGCCCTCTCTGCAAGCCTAGGGTCATTCCTTTTCATTAGTGTCAAGTGTTAAGGTTGGAAAATGTTAAATTATGGAACCATTATGCTGATACCTGAATGTCAATATTACAGCACAATATTCTCTGTTTCCGTCATTGAAGCGCTTTGTGATAAATTGCAAATTCATGTCAAATGCTACCGACCACATCAGAAGGGCAAATATTTCCTTTCATGGCACTCACATCTGCCAGACAATCTCAGAAAATATGCCACAATTTGTGCCTACTGGCACACGCAGAGAGACAGACAGAAACGCACTGCAAAGCATACAGTTTAGTTTATAAAAACCACTGTAAAAATGGTCGATATTGGTTCACATACATTTGAATGAGATGAGGTAGAGAGACTTGGGAATTACACCTGCTGACAGAAAAAAAAACCCTGCGCCTGCAGACATAATCTTCGGGAACGGTTTAATTTCCCCTGCATGATGTGACCGAAACCACATGTCACAGAAAGTGCAGTTAATGACACACACTGCTAACACCTCAGCAGTGACGTGCATATCGCACGAGTGGTTTACACCCGACGGATGCGCGGATTGAAAGTTGTGGAGCAGTCGAGCCACGCTTTAATTACCAGCGAGCTCTAACAAGCGCAAGGCTCACTGATGATTATTTTACCAGGTAAGGCCCACTGAGCTATATAGCTCTTGTTCAGAAGATAAACGAAGTGGCATATTACGTGGAAATCTATAGGAGCTAAATACTATAAACACATGTTGATTTTAAATGTAGAGGACCCGGAGAAAAATCCACGTGACCACGGGGAGAACATGCAAACTCCAAATATACAGGCGTCAGGATCGCGATTGAACCCACAACCTCCTGCATACCAGGTGAAGTAGTTAACATCTCAACGATGACGCGCGAAGCACGTCAACACTAAGGGCGATTTGAGGGGCGCGTTTGTTGTGCTGTCTGCACGCGTTTGTGCTGCAGCCGGAGGGCGCACGAGCCTGCGTATAAACCGTATCCATGGTTCGGACGTACACACGCTCCCATCTACATTTCACTTGAGTGGAGTTGACGTGGAAAGTGCGCACATGCACTGCCTGTTCTTGGTAACGAGTAGCCGTAATCCCCTTGGTGTGAGCTGTTTACCTAAACAAGTGACCTGATGGTTTAATTTGGGTGAGGAGGAGGAGGAGGCTGATCGGCTGGGTGAGGAGGCACGCATTTCCATGGAAAGTCACACCAGCACGGTGACGACATACGAATTAGCAAGCATCGTAGATAATAAACAATGGGTGTATTTAATATATGTGTAACCCATGAAATGGAAAAAAATTACATTTTATAGAAGTTGATGATGAGACACGTAAAATTGATTTTAAAAAATCTAATTGACATTTTAATCATTCAATTATAGCACAACAATTTAATATGTAATCATGTTTTACATTTTTATAGTGTTTTTCTCCCCAGAGTTTATATATCAGGCACTTTTTTTAAATGCCTTTAGATTTGTTTGTTTGCCAAATGTCTTTGGGAAGTTACTTAAGCACCGCGTTCTCGTATTGACCCCCTACTCCCCCAGATCTCACTCACAAATGAGACTTCTTGTCAAATAAAAAAAGTCCGACTACCTCACCGAGACTCAAAAAGCTCCAATAGTGAACAAAAGAGAAACAAACCAAATCGAGAACTCCTTGCTATTAAACTCAGTATTGACATTTTGCACTGGTGCCCATAATGGAGCCGACAGGCCTCGGGACAGACAAACTGTGCCGTCGCCAGCCATCATTCCATAACAGGGGATACAATCGAGCAGCGCACGTCATGTCACCCATCCCACAGCACCACCCCCTCCACAACCGTGAACCGCTGCTCACACTCGCTAATTATTCTGGCACGGACAGAGTGAGTGCTAGCGCGTAGTTTCAGCCAGCGGCTGCGAATGAAAGGGCTGGCTCTGGCCAGACACCAGGTCACGCACTGCTGCGCCCCAAGAAAGGCTCTCCTTCAGATCGCATATTTAACATCGCTTGAGAGAAAACGACCTTCCCCGTAGTCTTTCATGTTTCCCTTGCATTCTGTTTGCTCAAGAGCCTATACACCGCATACATTTCACGCAACAAATACTCCAAAACGCGGCGACACACAGGCATGCGTTTCATTAAAACCCTAAAGCTTGTTTGGTTTTGGGTTTTTGCCGTATTAATTTTTCGTTCTTTAAATATATTTTTTATATAAAAAAAAGGATCTAGCGGGGAATACAAAAGCTTTCTTTAATGTCGCGGTTTGTGGACACGGTGCACTTTCAATTGGACCCGCGGAGCCCATTTTTTCAATTCAGCGCCACCAAAAGTGTACCCACGTCAGGGCTGAAGCTAAATGACAAACATCCATCACAGTGACGGAAGGCAAGGCCCCCCAAACAACTCTAATTACCTGGCTGTCCTATCCACAGGGACCACAGAGAAATGGAGCACAGCAGTGCAGAGAACAAAAGGAGGAATCCGAAGACAGCGCTGTCATCAGATTTTGCTCCTGTTATTGTGCTGACCATGGCCACGTGCAGCAACATGCACGCAATTACATGCCATGTCCTCCGATGACATTGGATTAACGATCTCTCAGCAGCGCGGTCGTTTCACGATGCAAATTACTTTTCCACATGTAGAATTGGCCAATTGCCACATTACGAAAAAGCAGAGTGAGTTTAATAACATGAAACCTAGGTAAATTTTCTACTTTAAAAAAAGTCAGCACAGTAAAATACAAATCCCCTAATTGATTTTACCAATACAGGAGAGATGTAAGGCACACATGAGAAGCGTTTTTTTCCCTGCATCAACCTAGCCCCGCTGAATAAAGCCAAGACAAACAAGCGCAGCCAAACAACCCGGCAAATTGACAGGGAGACACCTCGGAGCGCACGCGTTAAGTGGCTTATCTCGGTCGGTGCCATTCCTTCAGGCACCTGATGCCACACCTCCTGCCGCACGTCTGACCTTTGCTTCGTGGTGCCATTGTCAACTAAAGGCCCTGGATATGCACGCCCTGGATTTCATTAACCCCGGGAAGGGCATCGGGGCAAATGAGAATGCCTGTGGCCCTATGGGGTCGCACTGACAAAGGGCAAGGGGGCCCTACCGACGGGCGCCTCACTGGGATGCGAGGGGCTGAGCAAAAGTCAGGGGAAAATGACATGAACGTCAGATGTGTTCTCAACTTTACAGCGCACAATAACTTTTTTTTAATAAGCCAGCTTCGAAACTACAACGCTTTTCACTCTTCTGTTTATATTAAGCAAATGCAAGTCACAGCTGTCAGACGTGTGGGGTGACCCAGATTACTTTTTTTTTTGCTTAAAGGATTATGCAAGACTGCACACTTTTTTTGTAATGCCCAGCACAAACTGGGCAGATGTTCAGCTGGCCTACACATTTTGTTTTGTTCAATTCGTGCACGTTAACATGGCAGCAGCGTGAATGTCTGAATTAGTACCATTCCACTCCAAGAATCAGCCCGGAGCAGGCAGACTGGCGAGTCGTTCCCATTAAGGCATCCTCATTATGACCGTATGTTACCTGCTCTTGTGGCGGACGTCATGTGGGGAAAAGGGGCAACAGCCAATGCATATTAATGCACAGAGAGAGAGGCTCTGGGAGAAACTCACCGCTCGTGCCGTTGCCCTCGGGGTTGCTGATGCTATCCAAGTGAATACGAATTTCCGGCTCAGAGCCTCTATCGAGGTCCGCCACTTCCTCAGCCGTGGCCTTCCCTCCTTTCTCGTCCACGCGGTAGTTCCCAAGACCGAACCAGAGGTGCGACCCCGAGTCTCTCTGTCCCAAAATACCGCTGAAGAACCTGCGCAGCTTGTGCGGGTCATCTGCACCGGCCTTCTCCATCGGCGAGAGCGGGTTGGTGCTTGCGGCTCCCGGTCCGGCTGAAGGCATCTCGTTGTCCTCCTCGCTGGAGACGGATCGAGGAGTCTGGCTCGCGCGCTCCGGCTGCATGTGCGGCTGATGGTTACCCTGCAGCAGCAGAAGCAGCCCGTCTGTCTTGGAGAGCACCTCCCCGACATCCACCGTTTTCCGCTTCTCGTGAAGGCGCACGGTCGGCACTACCTTCCTCTCCACGGACCTTCCTTTTGTCAAGTTGGGCACCTGACACGTTTTTCCTAAGTGCCGCTCTGCCCTGTCTTGGCTTTCCGCTCTCCGTTGCACCATCGCATCCCTCCCTCCGAGCAGCCGAAAGCTGAAGCTTTTTTGTGGTCGTCCAGGAGTTGACTTCGAAGGCATGAGAAACTTGTTTTTGTGGTTCACTGAATGGTCCGATTCCCTCTTGGGCAGAGTGAGCTTCTGCAGGTCGTTGCTCAGGGAGCACGGCACTTGCAGTGGCTGCCCTTCACGGCACAGGGGAGAATCCAGATCACTCAGCACCTCCCTCCTGCCTGAGCCCATGGCGCCTGGCAAGAGCAGACTCGTGGGCCTTTTCTGACTTGTGCCAGGCATGTCTGGGCCAGTTGAGTCATCTTCAAGTAATTTAAAATCTGTGCGTGCTCCCTGCAACGCTTCTTCAATGACCCTTTCAGCAGCTGCTGATGTTGGTTTGTCTTCAGTGATGGGTGCGCACGGAGTCTGGGATCCTATGGCAGTGAAGGACCCATCCACTCCACTTCTACCGGGAAGTGAAGCCTTGTCCCCTGGCTTGCCTGGCCTATCCAAAGCATCTTCTCTTTTCAAAATGGAGTGATTTATACCCCAATTCGATTTTGGGCTCTGTTGCATATCACTGTTAAGCACGGACTTATTCTCTTCATTACTCGAAACATTCCGAGCACTCGCTGTACATGATGGCTGTGGCATATCATCGAATGAGGCTGCTGTTGCAGAAGCAGTTGTCACAGGTTGCTTATCAGTGTTACCAACAATGCATTGCCCCTGTGTGGCGCTCTGGCCAATTGGCATGACAGCCATCGTTTCGGCTGTTCCTATTTCATTGTCCGCTTTAGTCAATTTGGAATAAGCCAATTTGTTGCCATCATTAACTGCATTTTTTTGTGCCGAGCACAATTCTGCCAAATCCGCCACATTGTGACCAAAGCGCGCTTCAGATTTCGCTCTGGAGGGACCAACCTTAAGGGCACACAGACATTTATTTGCATCTTTCTCACTCGAAACCAGGTTATGATATTGCGACCCGTCCACCGTCAATCCTCTGCCGACACAAATATGTCCACAGGCGCTCTTGACTTTCCTCTGGCATTCAACTTTCTGCAGCCCTGCTGACATCGTGGCATCCCTAGCCCTGGTACCCTGGCTTTCGAATGTGCTCAATGCACACGCACTGGCAGGTCGCTTTCTCACGTTACAATCTCGTATCTGGGCCCTGCTGCACCTGAGCCCAACTTTTGAGCAGCTTCTGCTGCCAGATGAGCCGGATCCATGTTCATTAGCCAATGCTGATATAGGTGAGCAGCTGCGATCAGCGCTGGAAATCTGACCCTTGTTTGAGAAGCTCAACGTGTCTACAGAGTGTCCCGTCAGACATTCCGTATGCTTATTTAGACCATGATTGACAGCGAAACTTACGGGAGCCTTTTGATCGTGGCCCTTTAAGTTGGGCGACGCCACTTCACTACTCCAACGCTCTCCAGGCCACTCTCCCGTGGCTAATACAACAAGCGAGCTCCTCTCTGCAGATACAAGGGTTTTGTCCACTTCCCGCACGTGCATTTGTTTTTCTGGACGTGCCGCGACACGTCCCTTTGAACCTGCCGATCCCACCTTGGCACCGTCGGCAATGTGCTCGTAAACGCTAACTCTCTCTCTGACGTTCACCTGCTCGGGGATCGCGCACGCCTCCTCTTCGCACTTTCCATGCAGTGAATCGAGTGCCTGCACTTTCCCGTGTTCAGCACCAATCTCCGCTGCAAACGCTGGACAGACTCCATCGCTGGCACCCTCGATACATCCTTCCCATCGACGGCCCTCTCCTCGTTCGCAGCTTCCCCTCTCGTCAGCGGTGGCAGCGGAGGCACATGCCGTGCACTCGCGCCCTTCGTCGCGCACAGCTGCCCCTCTCGAGCCGCCGCCCATGAGAGCATCGGTCCGTAGAAAGACGGCGGTGGCGTCGGCATCCGGAGGCCACTCGTCCGTTCCCTTCTCCTCCAGGGATTCGTGTTTCACCATTGTGACGCAGATACGGTACACGGTTTTCCTCCGAGGCTCCGATCCTGTGCGGGGGGGCCGCACGCGGGGGGGGCCCTCCGAGCTGCCCGGGCGCAGCACGTCGCCCATCCGTCCCTTGTCACCGTCTGCTTGTGCCGCCGACATTCTGGCTTCACCTGCTGCGGCTTTGCAGAGGCAGGCGGCTGTGCTCCAGAAGAGCCAGCTTACACGTTCACTAAAAATTGCTTCAGCCAGCAATGCGCATGACGTTTACCAGCGCATGGTTTAAATACCGCGTGAAAAAGAATGCAATTATTGTGTTCTTACCTCAGGCAATGACAAGTAAATCGATTTATGTCTTCACAAAACGCTTCTTCAAACTGTGTCGCTAAACTCTATGAGACCAGTGTGCCTTTGTTCTTCATCTCAATGCTAAATCGCACACAATCATTCGCCTATGTTCCAAACGGCTTTGAAGAGCGCCTTCTTCCAGCATGAACGTACATGCCGCTCTGCAAAAGTCGAGAGAACCAATTGACCGAGGCTCTTTGAAAAAAACAAAAACTAATTCGCGTGTCGCGGCAGCGCAAAACAAAAATCTATTCTCCAGACGACGAGCACGATGTCACGCCGCGTGCGCGAGGGGACCGACTCTGCATCCACGCACAGGAACCATGGGTGTTTAACAAACCCACGGTGGGTCTCCACGTGGTTCTGCAGTGCTGCGAGGCGGTTTCAAAAAGATGGATTTTTTGACACCGTTGTCACCGCCGCGCGAAAACCGCTGCCCCCCGAGCACTCGACGGATTCCTCCGTGCTGGATGGGACATCCGCAGGCAGACAGTAACTCCCAGGCTGAAGCAGCAGCTTCCCGCGAGCACTCTCTTTGTTGTTCCTGCTGCTGTTGTTGAAATTTTGCTGTAAGGTTGCTACAGCGCGCAGGCAGCACTGTGGCTCGGTTCAAGCCATCCCATCACATAAACAGAGGCGTAGAGGTGATCCGTCGACATGGGCAGTGTGTACAAGCCTCCTGCTGGACACAACAGCTGGCCCGGACGAATGCAGCGCATTCATCGACAGAATCCCAAATCCTCTCTCCAATGAAGGTGAGCTGCATCCTGGATGTCAGAATATCCGTTCATCGCGTGCGCCCACCGTGCGTTACGGTTGCTCCGAAATAAATACGAAAACAATTATAAAAGCAGGTTTAAATATACATGCGAAACTACAAAATTCAAGGTAAGAGGTGAACAAATTGGGTGATCTAGTAGACTTGTGCTGCTTACTCGGGAACAAAATTTCACAACTGGTGCTGTGGTTAATCCTGGCCGGGAGGAATCACTTTGGACTGTACCAAGTGGCAGCCACATGAGGAGGGGTGGGTGGGTGGGTGGTGGTGGTGATGCAAGGCAAGAGCGCTTGTGCATGCCATAATTACAAAACGGCCTGCACGCCGGAAACCAGGGTGGGATGCTATCAATAACCTATGCAAGCCAAGAGGACGTGACCATTAAAATAAAAAAAAACATTGCATAAAAGCTTGCGCAAGGCAGAAATATCACCGGCATGTGGTATGAATTTGAACCCATCCGCCAAGGTCTTTATACAAAGCATTCTGCAGAAAATAATATAATCCAAAGGAGTCACGTGTGTGTACGTTCGAGCGGTTGAATTGCCGCAGCTGACGAATGCCCAGTGCGTTCTGCCTTGACAAATGCTCCGATGCTTTTTCCGTGCATGATCGAGCAAAGCAATTTCACAGCTATTGATGTGAGACACCAAACGCTCTCAACGAGAGGACGGTTCAAAAACAACTTTCACACCCACGGTGGCGAAGAGGGGATCGGACTTTTGTTGTGTTATGTTGTGATTGTTTGTTGCTGCGCATCTGCTGTTTATTGTTTGAAAAACCTTGACAAAAAACATCTATAGTATACAGGCTTGATTTCGTGTGGAGATCCCACAGAAGCATACCTGGTTCTTTTACGTTCAGTTAAAATCAGCGCAATTTCAATCAGTGGGCTTCCATTTTCGCCAGGCCATTTTTAAAATAATGCCATTCAATCACACGATTTGGATTTGATCCGTCAAAATCGCTAAATTTGCGGAGCTCCGCTGCAAATACAGGAAGAGACGAGAGGTGAGGCAGCGACGAGCTCAGCCTCCCCTCTGATTGCGCAACCCCTCAGTAACTGGATGGAATGCGGGCAATAAGCGCGTGCCTGTTACTATCTCAGTATGTCACCAATGTAATGTTTGTAGACCCCTTCATTTCATGTCCTCGCCTTCCATACTCCAGGTAGCTCATTTCACGTATGTGTAGAAATATATTTAGGCTCGCTGGTCTCGTCATGAAACTGTAATCAAAAAGCACCAGGGGAGGCAGCTATCACATCTGCCTCACTAAGGGGGATGTGTCTAACACGCCCCCCTCAGTGAGGACACGCCCCTCAGTGAGGTCACGCCCCCCAGTGTGTCAATCTGGCTCTGACACTAGCCAGTGCCTCCCCAGCCATTGACCTCACCGCACGTCACTGCTGTACGCAGTGTACGTTACTCGCCATTTCACCTTTCATTGATACATTTTCATTGAAGGTCATGGAGAATAATCATGTTACATGGCTGGCAAAGAACAAAAAAACCCCACAGTATTTCACTAATTATGATTGTACACTGAACATTTGCGACTCATCTGAAAAATACAAAAAGTATCTCCGCATCACGCATGGGTAAGGGTCTGCGAGATGCGCAATCAGCGCGAGAATTCGTGGGAGGAGATGCACCCACACATCCCAGCAGCAGCAGCACACAAAGCCATAATCCGCTGTCCTATAGCATGTGGAAACTACGGTTGTTTTTCAGCAGGCTGTGGTGCGGACCAAGATTTTTTTTAATCTGTTATATAATTGTAATACCGCATCCACATTTAATTTCGTTAATGTGTGAGAATGAATTCCAACTGACGGAATGGCAGTTTTAGAAAAAAACATCTCCATAGAGATGTGATTTAAGTTTTTTCCCCCCAAAATTAGTTTTCATACATCTCACCACAATAGCTTTGAAAATGCACACCCTTGTGTAATAACGGTGAAGGCCACAACTAATTAAGTATCTGTTGATGCTTCACTTGAATACATAATAACAGCCAAGAAATGCTAATGCTAGCCGCTACAGGGCAATCTAATCAAACAAATACTGTACAGTGCACATGTAAACCTATTTAATGTTTTAAATTTAATCACAGGCCTATAGGGCACAGCAGCAGCGGCAGCGAGAACCAGAGGGAGGGTAGTAGATAATGGGTGGAAAGCCTTAATTGAGTTGTGTTATAGTAATAATAATACATGGGATTGGTTTACACGTTGTTCCAGAAGCTACGCATGTAATCAACAGTTTAAGAGGTAAAGATGCAGCCCTGCAATTATTTGTTCATGCCACTGCTGCCGGATGGCATCCACAAGAGGGAGCATGGAGAGGCCCTCGTGCAACAGTGGACTGACATGTTCACATATCACGCAAGGCCATCAATTCAAAAACAAAGTACCGCATAAAGTATACACAATAATATCCCGGTTTACGTCGGGGATGTGTTCCTGAAAGGTGCGACGAACATCGAAACGATTTAAACCAATGTCATTTACAGGGTAGGTGGAGGTGAAGGCCGAGGCGATGGATACGACAGAGGGCGGATGATGCTGTCAGCAACGTAAGTGTGGGTTGAGGCGACGTATTCAGGAAGTGGTATTATTAAAGTGACGACCTATTTGCTAAACTACGTAAATAGGGGAGGCGTACATCGGAATATTACTGCACAACGAACCACTTTTTCCCAACAGATATAAACAAAGATACAACAACAACCGCCATTCGCCACTAAGTGGCGTTAACGTCACCACGACGCTTGTGCCAGGCCATGTGCACCTTGAAGCCACACGTGAAGTGTCAAACGCCCGCTGGCACGAGGTCACGGGGCAGACCCAGGTGCCACGGGTCGACTGAGATGACTGGCTGATGCACCACCTGTGCCCCCTACTGTGCCAACTTGCTGTGCTTTAGCCACCCGGCTGCTCCGCTCGTTGTCGTGAGCGTCGCTCCTCCACCCTCCGTTGTTGTTGGATGGCGACTGCCTCCAACTGCCCAGTAGTGTCCTTCACGAGCCTCCTCCACAAAGATACAAACGCACTTACGCAGCTGCATTTGAATAATTTAGTGCCTATTTGGTTTTGCCTAAAAACCGTGCATGGCCTTGGGCTGGACCTGTTCTTTCCAAGTCAAGCTTTGTGGCCCCGGTGGTCCAGCGTGTGTGCAAGTACACGGCACAAAACCACGAGCCCTTCGGTGCCACAACAGCCCAAGCGTGTGAACCGTGAGGCTGCCACAAGGCAACACAAACAACATGTGTGGCCGCGTATCTTGCATTTGCTCGCTTTTTCTGCTATCAGTGCTGCCGTAGGTTGCATTTCCGAGCCACCCAGCTTGCCCTAACATAGCCTCTCTTCTAGAACTCATTACCGTCTGCTGTCTTGCCTCTGTTAATCCCTCGCCATTTTCTGATTTGTGGTGCTGACAGCAAGTAATTAACGTCACAATAGGTCTGGAACTTTCACCTGTAATTGCCAATCAAAAAAATAAGTCTTGTCATCAATGCCGTGGATCACCTTTAGATCACTTGTGATTTCTCAAATCAGAAAAACAAATATTCGTACCAATAGCCTTCACAATCCCACCATGAACCCACGTTGCCAGCAGCATGTGTTAATACAATAATAACAATAGATTTGGCGTGATGATTCATCATTTGCCAGCACCGACACAAGTACAGTAACGCAATTTTACAACAACATCCATGTTCACGTGAGGCTGCGCATATGTGTATAATAAAAAATTGCAATCTCTACACACATAAATCCCACGTTTGGACACACCGATCCCATGTTGGGATTAAACCCTGACACCTTCACGATGCATTCAAATATATATTCGTGGGGAAAAAAACGCACACCTGGCGAAAATCCATCTACGGTGTAATTTGTGAAATATGTCTTGAGCAAGTGTGCCATCAGATTGCAAAATTAATCCAGAAATGTGTAAACACTGAAGATGGGGGGCCGTAAAAGCGTCTCACGGTGTCTGAGCAAACCTTTGCTTCTTCCGTGTTAAAAGCTTTCCCCTGGGGATCCATCTCAAGCTGCTGACCTTGCAGAAGTGCAAATAGCCATAGATCGTGGCCACTGCAGATCGGGTAGTGGCGCCTGCTGTTGCTGCTGTCAAGAGGTTGGAGGATGGCGTGTGTGACAATCACAAGAACCACTTCTTCACGCCTCGTGTCCAGCATCCCTAAGGAGCCAAGCATTTGCACCCTTGTGCGACGTGCGGCTCTCTGCCTGCCCGCAATCCCAGCAGCTGGGGGCCTCGCGCCTTCAAGAGCCATTACCCAACGCCGCTGATCTCTGCGCGACCCTCCCGGCGTGTACAGTCGTTGCTTTGTGGACAGCGAATGCTGCAGATGCATTGATTTCCCGCACCTCTGATTAGCAAGGTTGGCTACGTATGTGCGCGAAAGAAGTTCAACACGCATGTCCATACACCCCCCCCCCCGCCCTCCCGTTCACTTGTCACCATATCTGCATTTAAAAATTACCCACAGCGCATTGCAAAAGCGAAACCATATAATTTCAAAAGAAAATGAGTAAATAGCTCGACTGAGTGGCTTGCTGTATAGTTTATTAATGAGCTGTACTGCTTTCTATCAGTCAATTCATGAACGTTGCAATCTGAGCATACAGGGCAGAGTGACCACTTTTAGGTTCATTGGCAATTCCAAAGACGACTATCCCTGCTCTTGAAAAGGACTCGGTGTACGATGCCAGTTGCTACATCTCGGTGAAAGCCAATTGTGGAAAGGATATTGAATCGGACAACACTGTTTCGTCGTGCCACAGCGATGGACAAGCACATGGAACCCGCCCCCACCTGTACCCGCAGCTGCAGCTGCAGGCAGTGTTATACTGTGTTCGGTCCCAAGTGTACGATAGTTCACGTGAATGTGAGCCAAGCATGCTTGGCGTACGCTGCATTCAGCGCTTCGGAGGTCAGGTTGGTGGAGCACACATAGATCACGAAGTGCGGGAGCCACCTGACATGCACTGCAGACGGCGGGACAGTAAACGGAGGATGATCACCTGGCTATAATTCTTTTTAGTTTATCACCTTGTAAGTGTGGGAGTGTTCCTGAGACGTGGGTGTCCGATGACATGCGAACATACTCGGTGAGGAGGGCAGTTCTGAACAAAA